GCCGGGCTGAGGTTCCTTCCCCAAACTTCTTCTCTCCCAGGAGTACCAACAATCCTCACACTGGAGTGTTTCCTTCCCGTGAATCTCTGTACAGTTTTGCCAGATATTTATATGCTGATAAAGAACATTTATGGTTGTGTTGCAGGGTTTAAAACTCTGTAGTTCTATCATATTGGGGGTCTTATGATTACAGTTTTAATGAGATAGGGTTTACAGACTATAAAATTCGCCCTTCCATGTGTACAATTCAGTGATTTCTTTAGCATACTCATAAAGCTGTGCAACCATCACTACCCGATCATTCCGGAACATTCTCATCTCCCCAAAGACACGCGTGCCTGTTAGTCATCACTCCCCATTTTCCAGTCTCCTTAGTCACTGGCGGCCTCTTATCTGCCTCTAAGGATTTGCCTGTTCTAGACATTTCATGGAAATGTAATTACACAATATGAGATCTCTGTGTCTGGCTTCTTTCACTTACTGTAGTTTCTTGAGATCCATCCGTGTTTCGGCATGTATCAGCCCTTCATTCCTTTCTACGGCCAAAGAAAATTCCATCGGATGGATACACTGCATGTTTATCCGTTTGTTAGCTGGCAGACACTGAAGTTACTCCTACCCTTTGCTATCGGTGCCCATGCACGAGTTTTTGTGGGGACGTGTATTTTCACTGGTATATGTTGGGTATATAAACCCCTGGGGCTGGAGTTGCTGGGTTTAACTTTTGGGGGAACTTCCGGACTGTTTTCCAAAACAGCTGCATGATTTTAAATTCCCACCCGTGGTGCAAGAGGGTTCTGACCTCTCCACGTTGTCCACACTTTGAGTATCTGTCCTTCTGATCACAGCCACCATGGTGTGGACAGTGGCATCTCATTGCGGTTTTGACTGACATCTTCATGATGACGCATAGCAGTGAGCATCTTTTTACGTGCTTATTGGTGACCCTTACGTTTCTGGAGAGGTGTCCACTCAGGCCATTTGTCCATTTTACACGGGGTTGTCTTTTTATTGCTGAGGTGCGAGAGTTCTTTTATATTTTAGACACTCTCTTACCAAATATACGGCTTGCAAACATTTTCACTCATTCCGTGAGATGTCCTGACACTTTCCTGACGGTGTCCTGTGCAGCTTAAAAGTTTTTCAGTTTGAAGAAAAGCATTTATCTACTCGTTCCTCTTGGTGCTTGTGTCCTAAGAAATCATTGTTTAACCCAAGGTGACAAAAAATTGTGCCTCTTTTAATTCTGAGCGTTTCATAGCGTTAGCTCTTAAATTTAGGTTTTCAGTTCACTGTGAGTTACGTTTTGTATATGACCTGGGGTAAGATTTCCACTACATTCTTTCACAAGCAGATGTCCAGTAGAACCAGCCCATTTGTGGAAAAGATAATGCTCTCCTCCATCGAATCTTCTTTGTACCCTTCTTGAAAGATTATGTTTTATAATTTAAAATTTTTTTAATGTTTATTTATTTTTGAGAGAGAGAGAGAGTGTGTGTGAGCAGGGGAGGAGCAGAGAGAGGGTGAGACACAGATTCTGAAGCAGGCTCCAGGCTCTGAGCCGTCAGCACAGAGCCAACGTGGGGCTCGAACTCACCAGCTGTGAGATCATGACCTGAGCCGAAGTCAGATGCTTAACCAGCTGAGCCCCCCAGGCGCCCCTGAAAGAGTATGTTTTATTTTATTATTTTTTTAATGTTTTATTTATTTCTAGGAGAGAGAGAGAGAGAGAGAGAAACAGCCTGAGCAGGGGAGGGTCAGAGAGAGAGGGAATCACAGACTCTGAAACAGGCTCCAGGCTCTGAGCTGTCAGCACAGAGCCCAACGCGGGGCTCGAACCCACGAACCCTGAGATCATGACCTGACCCAAAGTCGGACACTTAACCGACTAAGCCACCCAGGCGCCCCTGAAAGAGAATGTTTTAAAGGTTTATCGATGTTAATACCAGTAGCTCTAATTTATTCATTTTACTAATGTATAGTATTCTAGGAAATGAGTATATTTTCACGGGCTCTTCCTCCTGCTGAGAAAGATTTAGGTTGTTTCTTTGCACATTTTTTTCTTTCTCTTTTCATTTCTCTCTTTCCCCTTTTCTCTTTATTATTATAAAAGAAGCCGCAGCGTACATTCTAGTAACTATCTCTGCCTTGATACGAGGGCTACCCTCACAAGCAGAATTTCCGGTGTGGGACGTCAAGAGGAACCTGCCACACAGGAAGACGTGAGAACAGGCACCTGGTTTGGCTGTACCTGCTGATGCGCTTGATGAGAGAGAAAAACGAGCAACACAGAATACACAGGAAATTATAAGATACGGGATGTTTTTACCAACCATGAACACTAGAAGGAAAACTACCCAGCTATTAGGATTTACAGGTCATTTTTCTTGGATGAGCTTTTCCTTTCTTACCAGAAGGTGGCAGAGAGGACACACTTTCAATACTTCCTCCGTTTTGTACCAGAAAAGAAAAATTTTTTTAAGAGCAAGACAAATTACTCTTGCAACTTAAAACATCTAAGTTTTAAACATCCAGATTTCCAGGTTCTATTATTCCACACAGTTAACTTTTAGGGGTGCCTAAAGTTGGTTGAGCCACTGACTTTGGCTCAGGGCATGATCTCGCGGTTCGTGAGTTTGAGCCCCACGCGGGTCTCTGTGCTGACAGCCCGGAGCATGGAGCTGCTTCGGATTCTGTGTCTCCCTCTCTCTCTGCCCCTTCCCCGCTCCTGCTCTGTCTCTGTCTCTGTCTCTTTCAAATTAAATAAATATTTGAAAAATTTTTTTTAAAGTCTAACTTTTAAACATCCAGATTTGAGGTTCTGTTCATACACTTATTAGAAATATCACCTAAGGGAGACAAGTGACCACCACTTTTGAGGTCTATATATATGAGTTAAATAAAACATAGTTGGATTTAACAAAAGACTATGAATCTGTCTAAAAGTTATGAATAGATGAGCTCATTATAATTAGTGGAAAATATTTTTAAGGGCAGCTGAAAAACAAAAGGAAAATTTATACCGGCCACCAATTCCCAGAAACAATCTCAGTCTGCGATGCAAAAATGTAGGTTTCTGAAGCAGCGTTCAGGTCTGTAAATCCGCTACTGCCCCCCTGCACTAACGTGGTAGATTTCCCACCGTGGGGACGAGGGGAGGAAGGTCCCATATGCACTAGTGATGGAACTGCCTATAAAACCCGTTTTCTGACCTTTCACCAACTTCCCCGTTGGTTTTTAAAAAGACGGCTCTCCATAAAGAGCTAAGTTAGTATGGCTTCTGCCCTTCAGAGAGCACGGTAAACTCACTGCAGGTTTGTTTGCGATGGCACCTAGCTCACACTGAAGCGGTTTATTTGGAGAAGGAAAGGACTCCTGAGGAGTCCCTGGGGTCCAGTCCGCAGGGCAGGACGGCCAGGTAAACAAGACCAAATGGGGCAGCTCCTAGAAGGAGGAAGCAGGGGGCGGTGCTCCCAACACAGAGCCTCCCCCTTGCCCCAGGGGGTGCAGCAGGGAGGGGCAGAGGGGCTGCCGGGGTCTGGGACGGGTCAGGGATGGCCCACATGCTGACGGGGCCCGGCCCAGAGAATAACACCCCGCTAGAGTCGTTGCAAAAGCCCTTGCCACCAAATCCAGCCCCTGACCGACGATAGCCAGTGATACACCAGGACGACTTCTAACGGCTCATCCCCCTGGATGCCTGATTTGAAGCTATCGTGGAAGTAAGACGTTTAGAAATCATGTTAAACGTTGAGGTTTCTCTTAATGGAAGTCAGATCTATTCTGCAGAACCCTCTGCAGGTGTAGGGCTGGAGAAACTCGAGCCGTCTGTGGCTTGGCAACGGCAAGGTCCCGTTCTGCTTTTCTCCTTGCCGAGGCCGGAGAGCGCCAGCCCGTTTTCTAACAGTGGCTGAGCTTTGCCAGCACACGCACACACTTGTGGGTGGGGTCAGTTGGGAGGCTGGAGGGAGTTCTCGAGTCTGTGCAGGCCAAACACCGCAGGGAATTCCAAGGGGTAGAAAAGAATACCTTCGGGGTTAGCCAATTTCCACTGCTTGGTCTGGAAACATGGCCAGGAACGGACCCTTACAGGGAGGGGGTGCCTGGGAGGTGGACGCATGTATCCTAGGGTCCCTTCACCCCATGCACGGTCATCATGTTACCCGGAACAGCGCGAGGACTCCCCGGCCCACCCTGCTGTCCGGGCCACGGCCTCGGTAAAACTCGTCCTGAGTGGCTGCAACTCATAAGAGCCCCATTAGCTGGAAACGAGGGGAATACGGTCACCCTGGCAGTGACTCGATGCCCACACATATGCTAAGTGCCCTTACAATAGATCTTAGTTTTGAAGGGTTCACAGGTCTCTCCGAGGAACTGATCAAAGCCCTTAACACAGCCCCGCTGACCCCCTCAAATGTGCACGGGCTCTGTATATAATGTTCACCTCGGTGGGGGATGCGCGGGCCCAGGTTAAGACTTGGGAATCTGTGATTTGAAGAGCAAGAATGGCCTGACATCAAGGCAAGATCAGACTGAAAGTGTTATTTCTATTAAGGAAAGAATGAGTCCGTTAGAAAGAGAGCTCATCTGCCATCACAAAGCGCCAACAAGCCACCGAGGCATAGACTGGTTACGTTCGAGTTAGGACAGTTAGGAAGGTCCACGGCCAGGGGACCTGGACACTCCACCCCCAGCCCTGGCTTTGCCCAGCAGGAGGATACAGCTAACAATATCCAACAAGCCCCCTCCCTGACGCTATGCTCACCCAGCAACCCCACGACTAGAAGTTGGCCCCCCGTGTTGGTCTCGTGCCCACAGGGACACAGCGTTCTGGTCTTGCCAATGGGAACATGCCAGGCAGGCACGGTCCTCTCTGGAAAATCCGATCTTTAAGCCAGTCAGGCTGAGGTCTAAGATGCTGAACTGCCAGCTGGCGTCTCCTGGCAACACCGGGCTGGCCAGGGGCACCTCCCCCCACCAACGGAAATGCCCACACTTGCCTTTTACAGGGCAGCGGATTGTCACGTCTGCTTGCAGGGCCGCCTCTATGGTGCCTCCAACCACAACGGACAGATGGCTGTGCTCTGGTCGGCTGATATTTCTCTCAACAGACAAGATGGCAGGCGCCTCTTAAATCAAAGGGAGCAGGAAATGGTGTTAGGTTCAGGCTCTGCTCTGGGAAAGCACATTGCGCCAGGTAAACTGGTTGAGCTCTTTGAGGGCGGGGGCAGGATCCGGCTCTCTCTGTATCCCTCGTGGTCCCTAGGAAGACTTGCACACACACCGCCTGGAGGTGCTCAGTGCACAGATGGCCAGGCAGACAGACGGATGGACGAAGGCACTCAGAGAGATACCTACAGGTGCACCGCCTCAACCATCTAGATGCTCTTAGGTTACTTTGGTTTTACAAGCCAAATTGAAGCTAAATCCCTCTTTGACAAATCTGGCAAACTGAAAGAAAAGGAACTGAGAAGTTCCCGAGAAGCCAAGAAGGCACGGCAGGGCTCGGACATGTCTCCAACGCGCAGCCTTGGATGAATCAAAGCAGGTCAAACACACCGGCACTTGCGGCCCGCTGACTCCTTCGCTGGAAGGGAAACTTGGAAGAAAAAACTTGCATAAAGCTTGCATGGAAAAATAAGCAAAAACAAGGTCGCAAAGAATCAAGGACTTGGTCAAGGGGTTTTATTTCCCTGAATTTTGAGAAACATGGACTTTTAACAGGTTCGTTACTAACTCACTCAGGAGATGCGCTTCATGCCTGAGCGGAACTAGAGGAATACAAAGTTGGAAAACAGCCATTCTTGGCTTCAAGCAACTCAGACTGTAGGAGACACCGTGCCGCACGGGGTGGTGGCTGCTGGGACGGAAGAAGGTGCGGGTTGCCCAGGCGCCTCTCGGGAGCGTGTGAGGGGCAGGGAGGGCAAGAGCCCGGGAGGGTGCTGACACAGCGTGTGCCCCCCACCCCCCGGAAGAATGGCCACCATGATGGCATTCTCTACTCTGCATTAGTATGTGAGCTGCTAGAGGCGAGGGCCTGTCTACACTGTTTTGTCACCTGTGCGTGGCAAGTGCAAGAAGAATGGCACTTCAGTGGACTGTTTGGTCACTACGTGTTTAGGAGTCAGAGGACATGCTCTCTCAGGAAACTGGATCGTCCTGAGATGGGCTTATGGGGGGCCTGGTCAGCCACAAGGGGGCCTGCCATTCCCCCCAGGAATTCTGGAACGTGCGGACAGCCATTTTCTGGGAAGAAGCTGATGCGCACAGGAGAGAATAACCCAGGAGGCTAGGACACAGAAAATCTAGGTCTAAAGGCCCTGCCTTGGGAATGTAGCCAGGGGAGGAGCTCCGGCCTTCTGGTTCAAGGAGCTTTTAAAATCAACTTGTCCAACCTTCTCCATGTGTAGCCATGAGGCACCTGCTACAGCGCTCAGTGCCAAGCTGTCTACGTGCTGGACTGTAATCCCAGCCATCGCTCCCCTTCTCCGCTCAGGTGGTGAGCCGCAGACACAGAGCGCATGGGCCACAGGGCTGGAGCATGGGCCTCTCGGTTCAGTTTTAATCCCACAACAGGGGCTCGCCACAAGGAAGCCTTGCGACAGCACCACCGAAAAGTGCTCCTTCGTGATTAAGCACATTTTCAGACTAAAATGACACTGTCTGCCCCTCGCGAAGACGGACACTAATTTGCAGTTACAGCTCCCTGCAGCTGTTTCTAAGGTTTGGTAGGCATGCCTCTGGAGGTCTGCAGTCATCTTTAAAGGATAATTATTCTCTCTCACTGGCCGGTGGCATTTAAGGCATGAGAAGTCCATACTGTCCACACTGCTAATTAAACTCTCATCGGTTCCCAGTGTCTTGGAAGGTGAGCTCGAAAGCAGCCATTTTCAAGATTTGGTCCACAGGCTGGCAGCATTGGTATAACTTGGGACCGTGTTAAAAATGTAAACTCGTGGACCCCGTCCTGGACCTACGGAGTCAGAACCTCCAGGAATGGGGGAGGGGTCTAGAAATCTGTGTTCTGACAAACTCCTGCCTTCAGGTATCCCTGCTGCTTCCTGCGGACCTTTGAGAACCGCGGCTCTATGGATTAATATTAAAAAGAGAAAGAAAATCCCGAGGCTCAGGTTTCAACAAAGGGCATTACCTGCATACAACACGGAAGAACTCTCCACGTCAGAACCGAGATGATTGGCTACAGAGCATCCATATACCCCCTGTTCTTTCCTTGTGGGGTTCCGTATCTGCATCTTCCCCATTCCATCCAAAGTGACCCTGCAGAACGATGAGGAAGGAGTGCGTTCCTATTGCGAGCCACACGGTTCCAGGACCACGGCACGCCACAGAGACGGAAGACCACAAAGTTAGACTCTGGGCTGCCAAGGACCCACCGTAAGACTGGAGGGTGGAGAAGGCTTCCTCCTGTGCTTCGTGGAACCCAGAGGCATGGTAGCCGGATGGGGCTTAGACAGCCGGGCTTCCTGTCTCGCTCGGCATGAGAACGGGCTTTGGATGGATGCAATGCTCGATCTACCACGTTTTCAACACGACAAACTAGGAAGCCTCAGTTTGCAGGATGTTAAACCCTCATTTTGTGCCCAAATCCTTCCGCAGGAACTGCAGGTGTGGATTTTTCGGTTTGGATTTGCACCCGGAAGGGAGCAGGCTGGTGGTTAGGGCTGCTCGGCGCTATTCATCCTCATTATCACCGTAGGAAGAAGTCAGGGGAAGTGGCAATGCTAAGGCCGTGTTATACTGGACTTGGAGCATGCTGTTAAGAATCAGGGCTAAACTGTATGAGCTCCATATGGTTTTCCAATTCCTGATACCCATAAACACCTGCAGGTAAATACTAGGAGAACCCAAATGGGTCAGGTCTATCTTGACAGATGAGGGGATTATTTAGGGAATGGAGAAGCAGAATGCTTGTTCTGCTTTTATTTTACTTCTTTCTTAATGATTTGAAGCTGCTTCTAGATCACTCAGATCAGTAGTCTATGAGCTGTTTCTTCCCTGCACCCCCCGCTTCCCAGATCTTAGCAACACAGACTGTTCTGACCACTAAATGCTGTGTTTCTTCATGAACTGAGCTGGGCCACTTCTCCACTTCCTCTCATTTCACGCTGCTTACCCTATGCTCCAGCCATAATGAACCTCTAACAGTTTCCAGAACATTCCATGATCTTTCAACACCCTGAGCTTTTGCATATGTTGTTCACTGTATTCAGGGTGCCCTTCCCCCACCCCCTCCTTCTGGCAAACTCCAACTTACCCACTGAATCCTGGATCAAATATAATTTTCCCTGTAAAGATTTCCCCAATACCCCTAGAGTTATCTTCTCCCCCTCTGGGCTCCTTCTGCTCTGGTTCATATATTTATTTGATGAAATATCTATTTCTTTCCACCAGACTGTGATCTTTTCAAGAGCAGGGACTAAATCTTATTCACAGCTGTGCATTTGCAGAGCTTGATACAGTGACATTTGTACAGCAAGTCCGATGTATGAATGGTCACAATATGGCAGTGCAGTGGCACAGACTGTGTGTGCCAGAAGGATGCAAGCCCCCTGCAACACACGCACACAATACACAAAGGGCTCAGAGATCACAACAGCTGAATTGCCCAGACCAAACACCAGGAGTATAGCAGACCTAGCTGTTGGTATGGTAGGCTAGCTTTTACACTAACGTCTAGAATCTACAATCTAAAATCCCTATTAAGCAACAGTAGATTGAGGGGTACTTGGGTGGCTCGGTTGGTTGAGCATCTGACTTTGAATCAGGTCACAATCTCACAGCCCATAAGTTTAAGCCCCACATCGGACTCTGTGCTGACACCTCAGAGCCTGGAGCCTGCTTCAGATTCTGTGTCTCCCTCTCTCTCTCTGCCCCTCCCTGGCTCATGCTCACTCACACTCTCTTTCTCTCTCTCTCTCTCAAATTAAAAAAAAAAAAACATTAAAAGAAATAGTCGATTAAGAATATAACGAGTAACAATGCTTGAAAAAATACACTAAAATATTTTCTTAAATTATTTTATATACGTGTTGATATGATTTAGCAATCCTCAGATGATTCCTTTGTTTTGTGCCCGTCAATTTAATGACACAGTGAGAAATCACTGAGACTGGAAATGTCTGGGCACTTGTGAGCTTTATCGCCAGTGGAGACCCCTCAGGGCACCCAGAGCCAGTACAGCCTGGGCCAGTCCCTGGGCTGGAGAATCAGCAAGTACGGTTCCACAAAGGAAGTGCCCTTGGCCTCTGCTGCACAACGTTATTCTCAACAACCCTGACCTTTCCACAGGCACCATTCCCAGTGAATCTACCCCCAACCCACCCTTCCTATCCTAGGTGAGACTTTGTGCCCAGCTGGCATCCAAATGCCTACATGCTTTCTTTCCTCTCATTGGAAAGCAGCTCTCGGAAGCATAGTTCCATTTCTGAGTTACTTCAACTGAAAAGTGAGATTCAGAGAAATACATCCAAAGGTGAGGACTTTTGTTACATAAAGGAAATTAAATGCAAGTTGAACAAATTAATCAGGTAAGTTTGAGGAAGAATGTAGAAATAAGAATGGATCTTATTACCTTATTCTCTTAAAAACTTACAAACAAAATTTTTAATAGCCATATGGAATTGCCTCTGCACCAAATGGTTGATCCTGAAAGTATGCAGAAATACACTTGAATGGGAGACACCATGTCAAAACCTTTCTTCAGATGACCTTTAGGAGTCACAGGCTCAGAAGACAATGCAATTCCATGCGGTCAAGTTGTGCTGTTTAAAATCAACTCAACAAACATTTACTTACACCGGCCACGCTCTACCGCATCCCTGCAGGACATATGTGGCCATCGGTGAATCAATCCCTTCAACTTTCTCAGCCTCTGCTTCCGTAAAACTTATAAAATAAAAATTGCTGAGCAGTCCTCAAAAGGGATCCATGAACCCTAGCGGTTCATGAGATCAAAACGATTTTCATAATAATGCTAAGCCATTATTTGCCTTTTTTGCTGAGTTGACATTTTCATTGCTTAGTAAACGCAGTGGTGGATACGATCCTGACACCAGGGTGTACCATTAGTCCTGAGTTCTTGACCAACACGCACTTGCCCCAAAAACAAAAATGTCAATTTCTCTTAAGAATGTCCTTAATGGGGGGCGCCTGGGTGGCTCAGTTGGTTGAGAGTCTGACTTCGACTCAGGTCATAATCTCACGGTTCACGGGTTCAAGCCCTGAAGCAGGCTCTGTGCTGACAGCTCAGAGCCTGGAGCCTGTTTCAGATTCTGTGTCTCCCTCATTCTCTGCCCCTCCCCTGCTCACGCTCTCACTCTTTCTCTCAAAAAAATATATGTAAAAAAATTTTTGTAAGTGCAAGATAAACCAATATTTCATTATAACACAGTAACGAAATTTCATTAATATGGTTTTAGATTCCTCAGTCCAACTGATATTTAAGAAACTACCCCTTGTCCAGTTATAGTGTAGCATTAAAGAATAGCCACAATGACCTGAAAACTTCCTTCTTTCCAATTAATATATCTGTATGAAGCCAAATTTTCTCTATAAACTTTAATTAAAACATCTCAGAACAGATTTAATGGAGAAATATTTACGAGAATCCAGCTGTGTCGTATTAAACCAGACATTAAAGAGGCTTGCAAACATATAAAACAATGCCATTGTTATCAGTAATTTTTTTAAAAAATACTGCTTGTATTTATGTAACATTGTTATTTATGTGAACACAAAATGGGCTTCCCACTGTTATTTCTTTTATTTTTTTCCTCTGATTTTAATTTTTTTAATGTTTATTTATTTTTGAGAGAGAGCATGAGTAGGGTTGGGGCCGAGAGAGAGGGGTACAGAGGACCTGGAATAAGCTCGGCACTACCAGCACAGAGCCTGATGTGGGGCGCAGACTCATGAACTATGAGATCACGAGCCAAGCCAAAGTTGGATGCTCAACTGACTGAACCACCCAGGTGCCCCCTTAATGTTATTTCTAAATGAATTAATAAATAGACACCTTAAATGCTTCTTTGTTTTAATGTCTAATATTGATAGCTTTCACTCACATGAACAAAAACTCTCTGGGCTTCTCAGAGTTTTTTATGTTTTTTAGCTTCAAAAGTGTCCAAAGGCCAAAAGATTTGTGAACTGCTAAGCTAGTCAGTTGGTCTGGAAGGTTTAGTCCGCTTTGAAAACTTCTTTATTCTTTATGCTCTTGTGTTCAGAGTTTCAGGGCGAAAATCAAAAAAGTTAGATTTGCTCTACCTTTTCATTCTAAGAGATAGCCTAATCATTTATTATAAACATTTGAGTTTTACCTAGATTTCATCTGATGTTTCACATATTAGGCTCAACGCACTAAGAGACATGATAAAAATAAAATCTGCATTTAAAGGACCTTCTGGGTCTGCAAAAACAATTTAACATCTGCTGTTTTGTTTCAATGATACAGAGGCAGCTTAGGCTCTCTGAATGCAAATGAAGGGAAAGCAAAACGTCTCCCGTCCTGAGTACAAACAGCAAGATTTAGAGACAGTGAAGGACACAGACATGGATTAATACCTGTCATTACCTGCTCTTTTATGTGAGACGGAAATGTGATGTTTCTATGCTGACATGGGGATCATAATAGAAAATATATGACTTAATATTGTGGTTTGAGCATCTCAAAAACTTTGATCCTTATTTTCTGGATTGATGACATAACAAATTTGATGACACGGAAAACTACTTCAGATCCTCAAGCCTTCTACAAAGGCTGTGCTTTGTGTGATACAGACGTTGGAAGTGGTGGCAGTGTTCAGGAGACAGGGTCCCTGGTTCCCACTGGCCAAGGTTCGTCTTGGGATTCTGCTGATCAGTGACCTCATCAGACAACCGTTAACCCCTGCCCTGCCAACCCTTGTGAACTCCAATGAGGTGCTCCGTCTCCGAGGTAGAGAAAGGCCCCATTAAGTTCTGGTTTGCAGTTCCTACATAGTGTGGGGTTCCTGCAAGGGTGGTTACTTTTTTGAAGCCTTCTACGGATTTTATTTCTTTTTTTAAATTTATTTGAGACAGAGAGAGAGAGAGAAAGAGAGAGAGAGCACGCACACATGCATGAACGGGGGAGGGACAGAGAGAGAATCCCAAATAGACTCCATGCCATCAGCATGGAGCCCAACGCAGGGCTTAAACTCAGGAAACTTTGAGATCATGACCTGGGCTGAAATCAAGAGTTGGAGGCTTACGCAACTGAGCCGCCAGACGTGCCATATTGATTTTATTCTTAAACATTCGGTGTTCTGCAAAGAGAGTCTATACACGCTTAACTTCAGTCTGACTCTGCCATCTTGTATCATTGGCACATGACAATGATTGGGATAGTATGGCTCAATTTTTAAAATTCCAGCATATATGTGAAAAACACATCCTAACACTGTGGGTTTTTTTGTTTTTGTTTTTTTTAGTTTCTTTCCCAACAAATCCTGCTGGACACACATTCTCAGAAGGAATTTGAAAACCTTTTCAAGAAAACTGGGATGCCCATTAAGAAGCTATGACGATAGGAACACCATGTTCTTTTACTTACTTGTCGGAGGGTTTTAACAACGCCCCATCCTTGGTCCAAGTATACGTGGCCTGGCTGGGGGTGACGGGTTCACACAGGATGTTAATGACCTCCGTCCTTTTTGTAATGTATACTGTACTTCCGATCCTCGAATTCACCGTCTTATTAAATGAGATCGAGGTGGGCTGCCTGTGCCTCAGGAGGACAGGTCCCTCTGACTGGAACGTCAGCTTGCCTGAGTTTCCTGCATCCAGGCCTTGGGGCACACTTCCTGTGGCCCCCCTTAGCTGAGCCGCGGGAGGCGCCCCTTCCTGGACGCCCCTCCACTGCAAGTGCGCTGGCTGTGCCTTAGCCAGCTCGGCCACCAGCTGGTAGATCATCTGGGACGCAAGGTCATCGCTCACCTCCCCCGTTTCCATGAGCTGACTCATGTTCCTTATCAGTTCCTCAAACTGGGCCGTGTCCATGCTGTAAGCTCCCTGTTTAACTGCCGCTTCAAGCTGCTTGTTCTTCAACTCCCAGGAGTTGGTGTTTCCCGCAGAATTGCTGCAGTGGCCCAACAGCGCTCGCAGGAAAGGCTGGTGAGCAACTTGGCCATCGTCCGGATACAGCTCATTTTTGTGACCCCACATCTGCCTCATTTTCTGCCAGGTGGCTCCCAAGCTATTGGCGTCCCTGCGGTCCATCCCGGGATGGTCCCTCACGGGCTCTCCGAGGGCCGGGGGCGCAATGAGCCTGTTGTCGGTACCGATGAGCTTTAGGACAACGGTTTCTCGGGCAGGGCCTGCGACGCAGCGGTACGTGCCGATGTCAGGGGCTGCGAGACTGTGGATTTTAAGTGAGCCTGACTTGGTGATGCCCAGCCGCTTGGAGTTCTGCAGGCAACGGCCATCCTTCTCCCACTGGATCAGAGATTTCTGGAATCGTCGTACTGGGCATTTAATAATCACAGATGTGTTGGGCAGCAAATAGGCTCTGCTCCCGACGGTCAGGTTAATGCGCTTCTCTTCCCTTGTCTGAATGTAGACTCTCTGGACACCGAGGATCTGCGGCCCCTGCTCAACAGGTTTCGTCTTCACCTCTGGTTTCATTTCTGCAGGGGAAGAGAAGAAAGACAAGAAAATACAAATATCTCAATAATAGAAGCTTTCTGGCAGCAATCTCCCAAGGCTGATATGAGTCCACAATTGTGTCTTCTTTCCTCTTTTAAAATATCTGGCAATTAGAACACAAGTAACGGTCTGCACAAATACCGAGTACTGCGGCAGCAAAGAACCCAAGTCTCAGTGAATGGCTTGAAAACATGTGAATTATTTTGCAAAGCCCTGGTTTGGAGACACGTGAGGTTAAATGTTTCCATCAGTAAAGGGACGTCTGATATTCTGGGCCACACCACTTGGTAAGTATGGCCCTTTAGGGAGTTCATATATGGTTTGGCCAGAACCACGTCAGCTACCGGAGAGAAAGGGAGAGTGGGAAAGTGAGAGAAAGCATTCAAAAGATGACCTGAATGGGTCAGTTAAATGAGCAGGGACTGAAGAAGCACCTGGTCTAAGAAGAAAACAGAGGGGCATCCGGGTAGCTCAGTTGGTTAAGCGTCCGACTTCAGCTCAGGTCATGATCTCATGATTTGTGGGTTCCAGCCCCACATTGGGCTCTGTGCTGACAGCTCAGAACCTGGGGCCTGCCTCTGATTCTGTGTCTCCCTCTCTCTCTGCCCTTCCCCTGCTCATACCCTGTCTTTCAAAAATAAAATACATTTTTTAAGAAAAAGGGGAAGAACAGGCACTTTGAAGCCAAACAAATCTGAGTTGGATCTTAGCTCTGCCACTCGGACAAGTCATTGGATCTCTCTGAGCCTCAGTTTTCTTGCCTAGAAAAGGTGGGTGGGGCGCCTGGGTGGCTCAGTTGGTGAAGCGTCTGACTTCATTATAGGTCATGATGTCGCAGTTCTTGAGTTCGAGCCCCATCTCCAGCTATGTGCTGACAGCTCAGAGCCTGGAGCCTGCTTCAGATTCTGTGTCTCCCTCTCTCTTTGCCCCTCTCCCACTAAAGCTCTGTCTCTCTCAAAAATAAACATTAAAAAAATTTAGAAAATGTGTCTAATGCCAGTGCCTTCATCAGAGGAGTGTGAAAGTTTGGTTGGATATTTACACCAAATGCATGCAGAGTAGCGGGCACGTAATACGCTCGCACAGACGACCACTGTGACCCTGACACCTGACAAAGGGAAGTGCGGCCAGTGAGCGCAGGGCAGTGTGAGACGGGAGGAGACACAGGGCTGGCTCCAGCCTGTTCCTGTATGTGGCCTCCAGTTAATGGCCTTGGGCCAAAGAGGATGCACCTTAGGCCTCTCATTTGGAAGAAGAGCCTGCAGGAAGGGCTGGACATGTCCCAAGGCAGTTCTGAAGTGAGGGGAGGGTGAGGGGGGGGGAAGCCCAGGGCCTCTTTGATGATGCGGTTAGGGCCATGGGTACATGGAGAATCTGGGAGTGATTGAAGAGACTGGACTCTGGTCAAATATATCGCTGGATTCAGGACACGGGATTGGGGGTCTCATCATCTGGGAGGGTCCCAATTACAGGTCCTCCTGGCTGAAGTACTGGAAAGGAAACACGGGAAGAAAAATCAGGTAGGTCTCCACTTCGATGGCCCTCTCAGGCGTGACCCTGGTTTTCCAGAATAGGTCCTGGAGTCCTCTTGGGGGGGCTCAGGAGCCCCAGGGGTCTAGCTGCTGGATGGGCTGTGGTGGGACCAGCGCATTCAGGAAAATGACAGCTGAGAACCCATAATTTCTGTGTCAGAGGATGTTCTTGGTGAGGGGCATGCATGATGGTTTGCGTGCGAATCCCGCAGAGGTGTGGCTGGCAGGTCGGGACTGTCGTCCGGGGCTCTGCCCGCGGAGGATCGTCCGCTCGGGTCTAGCGCACCCCCCTTCCCCGCTGGCTACAGTCTCCACAGAGGGCGTCAAGCTCACCCCAGCCACTTGAGGCACACAGATGTTCTTTCAGTTGGCGGCACAGAATTCTGAACGTGATCAAAACCAGGAAAAACAAATGTATGGATTCACTGGTAAATTTACAGCCATCCACTATTCCAGGCAGAGATGCTATCCAGAATACTCATCTATGTGCACAGCGAGGAGGCCACCAACCAGAGGAGACGGAGGCTGGAGCCCTGGAGCGGTGCTGTCACACCACCCTCCCGGTGTGCCCTCCATTGTCGTTAGGTTATGGGGAGATCAGGCGGCTCCTGCCAGGGGCCCCAAACAGCTGGCCAATCGCCATGGCATTTGGGCAGACCCTATTCACCACTTGGGAAGCACGGCCACAGTTTAATGACCAGTATGGACACACTGGTGTGTGGAGGCTCAATATCAACTAACTCAGTGGCTCTCAAACTTCGCGGTCTGCTAGAAGCATCTGTTATTATTATTATTTTTAATCTCAATGCCCTGAGGCCCATCCCCAGAAATCCTGACTTATGGGGTACAGCCTCGGCCCTGGAATTTTTTTTAAGCTCTCCAGGTGCCTCTAATGTGTGGCAAAGTTTGAGAACCACTGCCTCTGAGCCTACCACTGGGTGAAACTGAGGCAGCAGAGAAAGGCATTCCAGACTCCACTTCTTTTACTGAAAGGCAATGTGAGGGGATGCTGCTGGTCAGGAGGGAAGGAGAGATAAGAAACAGCAGCCATGTTTTCTGTGCGAACCCTGCCAAAGTCTTTATGACGTGTGGTGTCTTCTGGAAGAAGACCGTAGGAGGATTTCTTTCTGGCCTCGGCCTCAGTAGTCATCACACTTAACTCAGAGGGATTTGTTCATGTCCCATCCAATGAACGCTGAACTGTGTCAATGATCAGCCTGCATTTTCAAGATCGCTGTTATGTTGGGGAGTTTAGAGCCAAATCTGTCCTCACACATAACAGGGGTGTATACTTCAAGCCATAATCATGTTATAGCCTTGTTTGTCTTCCTTTCTTATTCCTCACATACTTCTAATTTTACTTATCTGGTTATATTTTATAAGTACGTATAAGTGGCCTATTGTCACAAGGCAGGGAGGGCATACATGCATGTATGTATATGTCTACATATATGCATGTATATCTACCTATACAGAGCTTTTACAGTTATTTCAAGACCCGTTTGAATACCCTGTCTGGTCACTGGTCCCTTGCTGGTGGACAGGGGAAAAGATGAACATGCATGTGGATGGCTTCAAAATCACAATACAAACTGGGTCAAAGTCAGGGTTTTGTTCTTGTTTTGTTTTTTTAAGTGCAGGGCTTGAACTCATAACCCTGAGATTCAGACCTGGACTAGATCAAGAGTCAGACATTCAACCCACTGAGCCACCCAGGCACCCCTAAAGTCAGGTTTTTAAATCCATGCACCTGAGGCCTGTGAGGAGGCAGACTAATCTGAGGCAGCCATGCCGCTAAGCATGAGGTCAGAGCTTGGATGAGTGGTTCGGGCTGAGGCTGATCTGAGGCTGGTGGAAGCCCACACAGCACCGTGATGCTCTAGAAGCAACCGTGGACCGGTTCTAAGCACCTTTAGGTCTGCTGGTGGCCAGGTGTTCCTCCACTGATCCTGAGGCTTTAAGTAGATGGGGCCCTGACCCCTTCCAAGGCAGCCTGGGGAGTGAGCAGGTGGTGGCAGCATGCAGCCTTGGTGAGGAACTCACCCGAGGGGCGGCGTGAGCCTGCGAGGGCCCATCTGCTCCCTCTGGCTGCTGGAAGGAAGGCGCTGTGGCCCTGGCTGGCGCCATCCCAACCCTGCCCTAGCAAGGTCTCACGCTGGGCACAGAGCACATACGAGCAGGCGTGCCCGGGGGGTGGCCTGGGTTCAGGCCCCGCCAGGCTGCCGGCTTCTGGGCCTGGACCTACCCCTTTCTCGGGACTCCCGGGAGCTCCGCTGGAGTGGGCCTGGAGCATACCATCGGCCACAGAGCTTAGGTGAGAACCGGTCTAGCTTGGGGTGACTGCCTCCTCCCACACCTGGCCATGCCCCTGACCTACAACTCTGGCCCGGCCTGACCAGGCCCGAGCCTCACCTACCGTGCAGAGTGGCCAGGTACGGACGGCAGCCTCCCAAAGGGGCTGCGGGCCCCTCCGCCTCTCCTACCACATTGGGCGTGAGAAACGCTATGTCTAATGGCTTTTCTAGAAAATGAGAAGATCTGTCTTCTACGTGTCTTCCTTCTGGGCGTCTGCCAGCCTGCCCTGCCCAGTCAAGGCCAGCTCTGGGAACGAGAGGCTGTTCACAGTGACTGTGCCTGAGCTCCAGGCTTGTCCGTGTCCCGCCGTAACCGCGGCCACATCCCCACCATAACTGTCCATCTTGGCGCCAGGCCAGCTTTCTGCCCCAAACCCCCAGGCTGGCTATTTGTACTCGATCTGTCCCGCACTTGGCTCCGGCCAGTCCCGAATGGGCTTCGGCCGCGATGCAGCCTTGCTACCACCCGGGTGGAACAGCGGCCCCGTCCGAGTGCAGCCCCGAGTGTGGCTGCCGGGCTGGCACTGGTTCCCGGGGAACTGAAGACCCGGGGAAGACGGCCAGCAGCTGCCGTCAACGCCGCATCGGCCTGAGGGAATGGCTGTTTACTGCCTCCCATGCGCCGTTCGGCCAGAGCCGCCCGGTGTGCTCGGGGCTCACCAGTGAATGCTCTGCCTGATGTCACAGGATGAGAGAACAGCTGGGACTGTAACTCGGGGGTTGCGTGACCTTCCAGGGAAGGTTCAACTGAGAAAGGCTGTCGGGGAAGGCAGGGTTTGTGTTGGTCTTTCAGGAATAAGAAGAACGTCAGTCGCTAGATATGGCGGGAGAAAGACTTCCAGCAAACGGTCAAAGCCTGCAGCGGGGGGAGGCAGGGAATCTAGGGGAGACCTAGGCAGGGGCACACCTGGGCCACGTGGTGCTCAGGACATCTCCCCCACCTGCCCTCTACCCAACTGCACGTGAACATGGTCAAAACAAAGATCAACAAAACACATTCCTTCGAAGCGGGTAGGCTGGGGGCGCCTGGGGGCTCAGGTGCTAGAACATCCGACCGACCTCTTGATCTTAGCTCAGGCTGTGAGCATGTTCATGGGATCGAGCCCCATGTCGGGCTCTGCGCTAACAGTACAGACCCTGCTTGGGTTCCTCTTTCTCTCTGCCCCTCCGCAGCTGGCACTATCTGTCTGTCTGTCTGTCTGTCTCTCTCTCTCTCTCTCAAAAATAATAATTAAAAAAAATAAATGAAGAGGATGGGTCTTACTTAAACTGGAGGTACCGGTCAGGATGCTCATCTAGAGGTGGGAGCTTGAGAGGAAATAAAGATCACAGCACAGGTGGCCTTGGTCTTTCTTGTCTTCAGGCCCCTCCAATCATGCGGGGGTCAGGCCCACAAAGAAGACCACACACTTCCAAACTCGGGGAGCAGATGGCACGGAAATGAGGTGAAGGGGAGCAGAAAGTCAGAGGACATGATGGCGTATAGGCCTTGATGTTCCCAGTGGAATAAAAGATAAGTCCATCAATGGAGAATGGGAAATTGAGAGTCAGGGCAGTCATTAAAATAGCTGCTATGTTGAATTTCTAGGGAATTCTTAGGAAACCGGAAAAAAAAAAAAAAACCACCACAAGCCCAGGTAAATCAGAAAGCATGAGCACAAAGGATGTCTGATCACCCTGGTGGTACTATTTCCTTCAGCAACTCCTCGTAGTTCAGACCGGGGAACCAGAAGCCAAACAAATATCACCTGAAAAGTAAAACCAGGGTTGAAGTGACCAGGTGATCGAGACAGGGCTGAAGAGTAGGCGAGAGTATCTGCAGTGAGGCTCTAACTACACAAGCGGGGGTGAGGGGGGGAGAGGGAAGGGACAGCAGGAAGCTGCTTCTGAGGGCCAAGTCTGAGCAAGTCCAAGGGGCCACCACGCCCAGCGGTGGGGCAGGGGTCCCTGAAGTCACTGGTAGGAATAGGGACGTCAGGGGTTAGGAGGGCCGTGGACGCGGGTGTTGGTTGCGGGGAGGAAGAACGGACCCAGTGGGAGTGTGTGCTGGAAGAAAGTGCCCAGTGTCCTGCACGCCTGCACGCGACGCCCTGGAGGCGGTGTCGAGGGCGGAGTGGGTGCAGGATGGCAGTGGGGGAAATGTGCAAGTGAGCACGGTCCGGAGGACAGGTGAGCCCCTGAGCGCATCACCTGGCTCTGTGAGAAGAAGATACCCCATCACAGTGCAACGAGAGAAGCCACATTTCAGCAAGAAGGGCCGCTGAGCAAAGGTGATGGCGTGAGCCAGGCCACGGAGGAGGCGGAGGCCCCGCTTGCTCCGGGTGACCCAGCACGGCTGGGAGCGGGGGTTCCCCTCCCTTCTCTGCTTCCCTGACCCAGGCGTCTGGCAAGCCAGGGAATGGGTGGGGGAAAGAAGGAATATTACTGTCCTTTTCCTTGCTTTTTTGCTCTCCCTAGCACTGATGATCTTACTCTGCTCTCCACTGCACGCTGGGATAGTTTCTAACTTCATCTGCACTGTGTCATGTGTCACATGCTGTGATTATCTCCGAGAAAGCACCTGGATGCCTGAAACTTCACTCCCCTGGAAGGCAGCTCGCCGTCAAAGTGCACTGCCATTGCAACCATCCACAAAAATCAAGTCGATAAGCACTTTGAAGCATGGCCCTGTGCTATATGCCACAGGCATTCTTAAATTCCAGGACACGATGGAACTTGGAGCCTCACATCCTTGGAATCTTGGAATCTCAAGCTTTTGAAGATTTATTCTCAAAGAATTCCCAGGGACAGAAAGTTAACGTTGTCTGTGAATCAGCATAAAGAGGCAGCTAAGAGCGTGGACTCAGGAATCAGACAGACCTGTGGTCAAATCGGCCAAGGCGTCCAACTAGCAGCTACGGGTCTGTGGTCAAGGATCATACATTCTCTAAGTCTTGGGTTCCTCGTCTCTAAATGGGGATAATAAGTGTCTCACAAATTGATGGGGACTAAATGGCTTAGTGCATGCAGGGAGTTCCATCCAATAAATGCTCAATTAATAGCCAAAAATGCTACTACTTCTTTTTTTTAAGTTGTTAACTATTTTTTGTTTTAACTTTGTGAGTTTCTCCCAGAAAGTTGTTGGTAAGTTTGGATTTTACATCCAAGTCTTTTTTTTTTTTTCCTTAAGCAGCATGAACATAATAGTTAACTTCTGATTTTTGTTTCTTACCATAAGCTCAGGAAGGTACCTGAGGTAATTAATATTACTTTACAGGTGGGTCATTAATGCCGGTGAAAAACAAAGCAGGAAACAGACCAGAAGCCGCAGGGTCCTGGTATGGTTTTCCCCCAGCTCCGAGCCCCATCTCCCCTGGGGGAGTTATTTTCATTTGCTGTAAGGCCAGCCACCGACTCATTTGTCATCACCCATCATCCTACATGGAACCTGCACATCCATGTGTAAACATTCGTCTACACTGAAAATACAGATGAATGTAATTTGCATATAAGCTTTTGGATATAATGAAGCCATACTATTAACTCTTGAAACTAAGCTTATTATTTAGACTTGAAGGAGTGCCCAAATTGCCATTAAAAAAAAAAAAAACAACAAAAGTATTTCATGTTTTCCTTGCTGGTTTTAGATTACAGTAAAACCTTGGTTTGCGAGCATAATTCATTCCAGAAACATGCTTGTCATCCAAAGCACTTGTATGATCAAAGCGAATTTCAAGAACCAATGGCTCAGTTGTGATCATGTGACGTTCGGCATCACATACAACTCGTATTGCAAGACATCGCTCATTTATCAAGTTAAAATTTATTGGAAACGTTTGCTCGTCTTGCGGAACACTCGTAGAACATGCTACTCGTGGTCCAAGAATTTACTGTATACACAAGAACAGATACTTGAATACTTAAACATACTTAGCTGTTCCATTCTTAGTAGAATGGATCCAAATGCATCCTCAGCAAAGGAAACCAGAGAGTAGTCTGGCTTCACTTCTATAAGGAATACTCGTGAATTAAGTGTAAGTGGAAGAAATTGAGGTCAAGCGAAGGAAGAAGGGAGTAGAAATCCAAGTGAGGAAACCAGGCAGATGCCATCTGTCAAGCTGCGTGGACATTTCTTAACACTGACTTTCCTTAGATTTGTATCCAATATTCAACCTTACAGTGGTTGCTGCTTAGAGCAGTTCTGAGTTCTGCTTGGTCTGCTTTTCCTACAGATTAGACATGTGCTGCTTTACGGGAATAAAGCCATTGGGACGAGAGGAACAGCACTGACATACCCAATGGAGTGTGGCCTTTCCATACTTACTACCGCACGTGGGCATCTGGCAAGATCTTACGAGAGGGGGCCCCGGGAGGTCTCCGCACATCGTCTCGCTGAGGGGAACGCGCCGGCCCTTGGCTGTCAGCCTCTGACACACCTGCTTTCTTCTCTGGGTTCCAACGCCACAGGTGACAGAACACTGCAAGGAGAAGCGTGCACCGGTCACATGGAGCATCAGGCAACAGCTGGGTCTCCACGGGGACAAGAGGGGTCCTACATGAGGCCGCGCCAGGCGGTGAGCCATTTCCTGGGCTCGAACGCCTCTTAGGTTTTCTTTCTCTGTCATTTCTTTAACACATGACCCACAGTGCTACATTAGTTTCAGGTGCTCAACACAGTGACCGGACAAGTTGATACAGAACTGGGTGCTCGAGTACTGTCACCAGCCGTCAACACACAACGGCGTTAAGGTATTGCTGACTATTCCCTACGCCGCACTTTCCATCCCATGACTTTTTTTTTTGGACTAATCTTTTATAATATGAGGAGTTCCTTCCTTGTCTTCCTTCCTCCTGAAGGAAGCAATTAATTTCCAGTAATTCACTGTCATGGGGATTTTTGGCATTGTGATTGATATCTGATTTATTTTTTAGCTATTTTTTTATAAAGAAAATTGTGCTTTAAAGAAAATGATATATACCCACAACCAAGACTTCAAGAAACAGAAAAGCACAAAAGGAAAGTTTTTTTTTATAAAACCACTCAAACTGCTTTACATAAAGTAACATTAATATCTGATCATCCATGTGTGCATAACATTCATATTTGATAATCACTGTGTGTACATGCAATTTTAATTTAAAAATTTAATGGTTTTATTATGCATATTAGAGAAAAAGGAACTAAAGTAGAATTAAAAGAGATGTTGAGGGGCGCCTGTGTGGCTCAGGCAGTTAAGCACCTCACTCTTGATTTCAGCTCAGGTCATGATTTCATGGTTCATGGGATCGAGCCCCCAGGTCCAGTTCTGCACTGACAGTGTGGAGCCTGCATGGGATTCTGTCTCTTCCACTCTCTCTGTCCCTTCCTGCCTTGCACACACTCTCTCAAAATAAATAAACTTAAAAACATTTTTTTAATAAAATTAATTTCTTTAAAAAAAAAAGAAGTTGAATGTCTGATCTTTTTTTTCACCCCAGCAATTAATTCCCCAAAGAACCCTCTAACGTTAAGAAAGAAAAATTTTTAAAAAATTTTAGAAACCAACGAGAGATTTGGATGATTGTTTTTAATGCCGTGTTCTGACTCAGGAGAGTATCTACCGGCTCACTGTTAGGAACGATGAGGAAATAAACCCATTCATTCCCGCCTCCTCTTCCCTCCAAACCTCGAGTTAGTGTTCTTGATACTGTTCAGGTAACATCAGGATTTCTGAGACGTACATTCTGTTCGGTGATGCCAGTGCTGACTGTCTTAACCCCGGACTTATTCATCCTTTTTATCAGCCTCTGTGCATTTACACAGAGTCATCTTGGTCCTGCAGGATTTTCACGATGGGCTACGGGGCAAGCTTTCTCTGCCCGCCTCTCCTCTGCCTTTCTACATGAAGAATGGCAAGAGCAGATGTGTACCTGGGCCAGGCTTTCTTGCCCTTTGAACTGTGTGTACCCTGTTCCACTGCCTTCTTGCACCGAACGCCACCGCTAAGATGTGTGAGGTCAAGTAGGGAGTTTTGTGGTGCATCTGTTTTCCTTTTCTGCTCAGAAGTCTGTGGGCTCTTTTTTTCTTTTCAACATTTATTTATTTCTGAGAGAGAGAGACAGAGCATGAGCAGGGGAGGGGTGCAGAGACAGAGAGACACAGAATCTGAAGTAGGCTCCAGGCTCTGAGCTGTCAGCATAGAGCCCGATGTGGGGCTCAAACTCACAAACCATAGGATCATGACCCAAGCCAAAGTCAGACACTTAACGTACTGAGCCCCCCAGGCTCCCCTGTGGGCTCTTTCTTTATCCATGAAGTTCTGCATCTTAAGCAGGCTGCGTCGCAGGGGGTCATATTTTCTGAGCACAAGGTACACCATTATGACTTGCCAACAAAACCTTTCATTAAAGGAATCTCTTCTGATTATTTATTAATAAATTCCTTTTTATTGTCTCTATTTTTCTCTTTCATTTTCTTTTTTTTTAATGTCTATTTTTGAGAGAGAGAGAGAGAGAGCATGCGCAAGAGAGGAAGAGAGACAGAGAATTCCAAGTAGGCTCCACACTGTCAGCACAGAGCCCAACGCAGGACTCGAACGCATGAACCATGAAATCAAAACCTGAGACAAAATCAAGAGTCCAACGCTTCACCCACTGTGCCAGCCAGGCACCCCGTTCCCTTTCATTCTCTGTGCTATTTGTTCTGTTCTTTTCAGAAATTCCAGTGTGCTTGGGTTTGACTTCCTCTGTCTCCCATGCCTGTCCCTGCCTCTGAAAACCAACTTCGCCTCTGTACCCTTTCCCCATCCCTGTATGCAAGTCCTTCCAGCCTGCACACTGTAACTCTCTGCTTTCATTTTCATTTTGTTGTTGCTTGTAATGTAACTTTTCTTTCTGCTCTTCTTAATATTCCTTTTGTTTGTTTTTTTTCCCCATGAATGTTCCAGTCATTGTTTCTTCTCCTTTTGCTGACTTTCAATCTCCTTTCAAGCCCAATTTTAAAGCCACTTTCTGCCCCAGATACCATGACTGCAATTTCCCCTGGAACGCAGACTCTATTTGTTGGAACTGTTCCCCGGGTAATATCTTTGGGATGTTACCATCTTTCGTGTGACCCCTGCCTTCTGTTCCTTTCCTGGAGAACTGACCTCCTCCTTCCCCATCAATTCCGCCCCCATCCCCTGAAGTGGATGCATAGGTTTTACGCAGGAGCCGTGAGCGTAGCTGTCTGGGAACAGCACAGGCAGGGGATGGACAGTCTACATCACTTGTGCGCGACGCTCTGGAGCCACAATTTCATCTCTGCTGCCCGCGTGTCTGTTCAGCTCCTGGCATTCGAGTGGCTGGTGTGACTCTGAGAACAGCCTCTTGGACAACTGGCTCACTGTGTAATGACGCCGCCACCTCGTCTCCGGCCGCCCTCCTGGGTTGGGAGGCTCGCGAATGCCATGTCTCCTTCGCCGCCACCTGGCCCATGGCTCCCGGGGACATTCTCAGGAGGCCAGCTCCAGGACGAGGCCTCGTCTGCTCTCTAATCAAAGGACCGTTGAATGGGCCTCAGAGGACTATCCCCCGTCCCCCCCAGGGGTGGGGGGGTCTACACCTCCCTCGGCGCCTGAGGGATACTTGCCAGCTCGCAGGCTTCCATCTCATTTTGGCCCAGATTTTACAGTCTTTGGCAGGTATGTTCCATGATTTATAGTTTGGGATTGTGGCCACTTCATTGTTCACTGAAGACAGAGTGTTCCCTCTCTTCCATTCTCTTTGTGGGTTTTTTGTTGGGTTTCAAAGGAGGGGAATGCATTTTTTTTTTTAAATCCTTTATTGTCCTCCTTAACAGAAAGCCCCAAACAATCAGTATTTTTAGTACGCTTTTAAATAAATAACTTAAAATTGTCATTTGGCACATTATGATTTTTTTTTTTAACCAAGTTAAAGCATCATCTATAAGAGTCTCCTGCACGATAAAAACTAATGTCAACTTTTAAATTTTGGTTCATGTAACAGTGAGTAACCTCACTGCCAGTCTCCACTCACAAGCCATTTCTAACGATAAATACAGGGTTTCCCCCCTCGCCGTTATGAACGGGAGCATCTTTGTAGAGCCCTTTCCTGGGTGGAGGTCTTACGTGACCTAGGGTCTACTAAGTTCAAAGTTAGGGTGCCAGTAGAGAATGTTCCCAACTCACAGAGAGAGGAAGAGACAAAATCAGTCCCATAAATCACAATTCACAGAGCGGCAACCTCCTGCCAAAGCGTCTACTATTTATGCTACAGAAATCTGGTAGATTCCTTTGGAAGAGCTCATGGGAACAGCATACCCTGAGTTCTTACAGCTTTGTAAGTATATGTGACCTTTACACTTGAAGGTCACCGTGGTGGCATAGAAATCCTTGCCTCCCATTTCCCTTCTTTTAGTTTATGAAACATATTGCTCCACTGTTTTCTCCTGTGAAGTGCTATGTTGACAAGTCTGATGCGAATCCGAGTTTCTTTCCCTAGTAAGTAACTTGGCCTTTTCGACTGGATACACAAATACATTTTTCTTTGTCTTTAAAATCCAGTACTTCTGGAAGATGTCCCGATGTTGGGTGTGCTGGGTCACTTCCCCCAGGGGTGTGGTGCACCCTTTCAATACCGCAATTTGTGTTACACGGTGATTTTTTTTTAATAGTTTCATTCTGTTGTTTTGGTTTTATTTTCTTGGGACTCTAATAATACTTATACATTGGATTTTTCCTCCCTTCTACCTATCTAATATTTTTGCTTGGATTCTTCCTATTTCTCTTAGATTTTTTCAATTCCTTCCTTTCTAGCATTTCTTACTACATTCTTTCTAGTTTACCCTCCATTTCTGAAATGCTCCCCTTAAGTTTTCTGGTTCTCTCCTGAACCACATCAGCTCTTTTTCTTCACAACCTCCCTGTTGTTTCTTCAACTCATTTCTGGGCTTTTCTATTTCTAGTTAGTTCCTATGGATTTCTTGATTTCTCTTAGCTCGCTTTGAAATAGTAAGTTATATTTTCATCTGCATCAAGGCCGCATTTCCATGACGTTGCTATGTTACTAACACCTTTATCTTACAGTATCTTTGTACAGGGCGAGCTGATGCTCCTATTTAAATGAAATTTGTTTTTTCTGTACTTTTAGGAGAGTGTAACGGGGTAGGAGGGTTTCAGGCTCGTTGTCCTTATGTTCCTCTTCTGGCGTTGAAGAGAAGTAGTTGACAGTGTGGCCACAGTTCTGAGATTCATATCTTCTGGACTCTTCCGTGCCCAGGGATCCAAGCATCTGTCACTTCTGCTTTGTGTCCTGTCTCAGCTTGGATTACAATAGCGTCAGGTGTTCTGGATATTTCTTCATACTCTTAGGGATGTGTGTTCCCTTCATGCTCTCCAGCCCTCTTAAGGCCCACGTGGGTCTGCGTGAAGTCCCCGGCACTCGGCCACAGCCCAGACCTAGAGTCCTGTCCCATCACCGACTGGTCTCAGACCCCGAG